CTAATTTGTTTAATTTATTTAGTTCAATTTTTTTAATTTATATAAATTAATTATTTAGTTCTTATTTATAATTAGAATCAAATAAAATATTATTTATTTTGAAAGTGACAAATACTTAAATTATATAATCCTTTGATCCTATATATAAACAACAACTAATTAAACAAGACACGTAGATCAAAATATTGACTAAAATTAATTAAAGACAATAAATATATAAGATATGTGTAAATGTTTTTCTAAATATGTTCATTATTTATGAAGATGTTAAGTGAAGACATAATAAAAATAAAAAAAGAGACCTACAGACCAAATGACAGTCTCAGGTAGACACATAATTAATTAAGAGTAAAAACAAAAAAAAATTATATTAGATAAACCCAAAGTAAGTATTGCTTACATGTGGGAACTTACCCTTTTTTTTTTTTTGCAACCATATATAGAACTTATCCGAGAAAATATTGCTTTTATATAAGATCATCAAAAGGAGCATATAATAAATGTCCGATCATTGGGGCGTATGAGATTAAATAATCATTCTTAAATTAAATTAAAAACTTGTAACGCTCAAAAAATACCTTATCACAGCAGGAGAAGGATTGTTTCGAAGCTTCCAAACGTGATTAGTGATTACATATAAGGCCAAAAAAAAAACAGAGAGAGAGAGAAGGGAACTGATGATAACTTGCTTTGACAATTCAACAAAAAATATAAACACGCAATACATGGGCCCACAACATGGCTCACATGATTCACCGCTTTTAAACAACACGTCGTCACGTGTCCATTCGGCCCCCACAATATGCAAAGTTCTCTCTTTTGCATGCAACTAGTTCAGCACCGGCACCCGAGCAATGCGCAGGTATGAATTTATCACGCGCATGAATTTATCATCCGTTTAGGTTTTCTCTGTGTTATCTTTGGTCCTATCTCACTTTTTTTGCACTATGATCCTTCTTCTACGGTGTCGTGGGGTCTCTTCTTTGGGTAGTGGGATCTTTATTTGTGATTTGGTTTTTTTTTTCCACCAGTCACTGTGAATTTGATTGCCTCTTCAAGGGCTATAAATATGATTGCGATCTGTGAGTCATTTTTTTCAAACTCAAAAGACCAAGGCATGCGAGTTGCAAGGTGGCAGAACCAAGAAGCCTCTCTCCCATCCCTTTTCCTCTGGCACAGTATGCTCCAATACTAGATTTTCAAACACGCTTTGAAAATGATTTGGAGCTTATTCCACTTTTTGGTGGCACTCGCTATCACCATATTGGTAGACTGGCTTTATTTTTAGTAAGAATGGGTACATACCTGAATAGTACATGAACTAAGTTTTTGTGTGGACCCAAAAAATTCTCCAAGTCCAACTCCAACCTGCAACTACAAGCTAACAAATTTTAGACCTCAACTTGCTCTTATTCAGAACCACAGAACTCATTGAACCGTTCAAATCTCTAAGATGTTCAATTGTGGAAGCAAATAAACTGATAGCTATCCATACAGGGCTAGAAGTTGGTAAATGGGTTTTTACAATACCGTTATCTACTTTGACTCTGATTCTTTTTTTTTTTCAATATTACAAAGGCAAGCTCGGAGCTTGAGATAGTTCAAGGATAGTTAACTACTCGTACAAGTCCACTAGCTATTTCGGGAATATTACCTATTTCAGCTTCTACATATCTTGTAGAAAGACCAGGAATATCCTGTAGTACCAAAAATTCCTGTTGTATCAAATGGGCCACCCTAGCAAGCTTACCAGCACATTCTACATTTTCTCTAAAGGAGTGTATGATCTCTAAATCGCAATTAGTCAAAATGAGGTCTCTCAGTCTTTGCATATTTTCCCTTAACAGGTGTGACTGATCACAATCCATAAACAACAGTTGAATAGCCTCCAGAGAATCAATGTACAGTTTGATCTTTTTGTATCCTAGCTCCAAACTCAAAAGACCAGGGCATGCAAGTTGCAAGGTGGCAGAACCAAGAAGCCTCTCTCCCATCCCTTTCCTCTGGCACAGTATGCTCCAATACTAGATTTTCAAACACGCTTTGAAAATGATTTGGAGCTTATTCCACTTTTTTGTGGCACTCGCTATCACCATATTGGTAGAATGGCTTTATTTTTAGTAAGAATGGGTACATACCTGAATAGTATATGAACTAAGTTTTTGTGTGGACCCAAAAAATTCTCCAAGTCCAACTCCAACCTGCAACTACAAGCTAACAAATTTTAGACCTCAACTTGCTCTTATTCAAAACCACAGAACTCATTAAATCGTTCAAATCTCTAAGATGTTCAATTGTGGAAGCAAATAAACTGATAGCTATCCATACAGGGCTAGAAGTTGGTAAATGGGTTTTTACAATACCGTTATCTACTCTGACTCTGATTCTTTTTTTTTTTTAAATATTACAAAGGCAAGCTTGGAGTTTGAGATAGTTCAAGGATAGTTAACTACCCGTACAAGTCCACTAGCTATTTCGGGCATATTACCTATTTCAGCTTCTACATATCTTGTAGAAAGACCAGGAATATCCTGTAGTACTAAAAATTCCTGTTGTATCATATGGGCCCCCTAGCAAGCTTATTACATTTTCTCTAAAGGAGTGTATGATCTCTAAATCGTAGTTAGTGAAAATGAGGTCTCTCAGTCTCTGAATATTTTCCCTTAACAGGTGTGACTGATCACAATCCATAAACAACAATGGAATGGCCTCCAGAGAATTAGTGTACAGTTTGATCTTTTTGTATCCTAGCTGTTGACAAAGTCTTAGACTTGACTCAATAGTGTGAATTTCAGCTATAGTTGATGGAATGAAGCCTAACTTTTGTTGAAAACCACACTTCCACTATCCGTTCTCATCAATGATGAAACCTCCGCAAGCTGCCTTACCTTGTCCTCTCTTTGATCCATTTACATCCACTCGAACATAACCTATTGGTGGCAAAACTTGTTGTGTTTCTTTCTAATCTTGAAATTGGAAGATTTTGTGATGATATTTATCTTCAGCTACCCCTTCCATGAGATGGAATAGGATCTTGTGCATTAGGTCTCTAGGTTGATCTATACTCTCCCCGAATGCTTTCTTGCATCTATTTTTGCAAATGACCCAACAAATGGTTCCAAAGATTCTGTTCCATAGCCATCTTGTAAATTTCCTGCCTCCTGGGTTGTTCTTCATGTTCCACTGCAGCCACACCTGTAAATTTCCAGAGAAAAAAACAGAATAATAAAGAGGGTTAATGATAAGTAACCACACTCTTTTTGCTGCCTTACGGTCTCTCAAAGTATGAAGTGTATTTTCCTCCCAATCACACTCAAAGGGACATTCATTGTTTTCATTGGGACGCTCATCACTTACTCTATTTTTTAAATATCTAAGCAAATATTATTATTATTATAATTAAAAAAACACTGATGCAATATTATTATTTCTAAAGTTGCCGGTTATATTTTAGACAGTTATATTTTTCAAGTTGGAATATTATTTGACTGGTGATAATATATATAATGCTTTTTTACAAATTAAATATTGTAGATATTTCAGTTATAAAAATCTAAAATCCAAAACCATTCTATTAACTAAGAAATGACAAAATGGGCCATTTCTCATCTATAAAATAATGCTCACACATATTTTTCTATTTAAAATTATTGAAAAAGCAACCAATAAAGAAAAACAAGCAGGTATGAGAGAGAAATTAAATATCTTTTTAAATTGTTAAAACTGTCTAGTTAAAAAGATAATAGGTTAATAGGATTGGGAAGTTATATTATTTTTGTATTATTTAATTTAAAATTTAAAATATTTATTAACACTAAAATTAATGTAAATTTCACATTTAAGTTATATTTGCCATGATTTTCAGAATCAAGGAAGTTATTTCATGCAATTCAAATGAGAATAAACAATAAATATTTTTGGAATAAATAACTCTTGTTAACTTTAAATTTAAGATATTTTTTAAGATAACTTTTAATTCTAAAATGTAAATAACAACTCAACTAAAATAATTTAAATAGAAATAATGTGAGATAAGTGGCAAATTCATTATGAGAGATAACTGTCAATTTTATCAAGATAGGGTGAGGAACACATAGACAGGGGAGGTGTGCATAAAATTTCAATTTTTACAAAAATAAAAAAATAAAACCTATTTATTTGCATCATGGTGAGATCACTTGGCAATCTCTCATTAAATCCTTCTTTATACCCTACTTTTATATAGTAACTAGTATAGCGCCCATGCAATTCACGGGCGTGACTTAGTACCTCTTTGTATAGTATAAAAAATTGAATCACTATATTTAAATATATAATAAAAAACTGTCATGATTATATAAATCCCAATATCCTCATAACCAATTTAAAAACTGCCAATTATCGAAATATATTTAAAAAATTGCCACGATCATATAATAAAAAATTGCAATGATCATATAAATCACGATCGGATAAATATACCCCACTATCCTCATAACTAATTTATTTTAGGAAATTGCTGATAAAGATATAATAAAATCAAAATATATTTAAAAAACTGCCACGATTATATAAATTACAATCGGATAAATATACCCCAATATCCTTATAACCAATTTATCTTAGGAAATTGTTGATAAAGATATAATAAAAAACTGCCCCATGTTTCTGGATTTTGTGACTATAACCCTTCCTATAATTTATCAATTTATAAATCAGATCATATAAAATAATTTGAAAAAAGAACTTCTCGGTTTATTAGTTTAAACTAAACACGATTCCCAACTCGAATAGAAACATGGGCAGAAAATGGTTTTAAAAAATAGTTCAAAAAAGTGGGATTTTTTGTTAAAAAAAATATTTATCTACCCATAGACGATGCCACGTGTCATGCTGTCAACTACTCCTCTCTTGTATAGATATTGGTAACTCAGAAATTCGTCCACACATACTTTTATATGCACCCCCCGTCCACCGAATGTCCGAATCCCCCCCAACAGAAACTGAAACACAAAGCAAAAGCCCAGAAAAGAAGAACAACAACAAAAGATGATGCAAACCCTATTATAACACATAAACTCCAAATTAAACTCATCGGATCGATCGATATGGGGATGGTGGAAGAAGCTCATAACGTGAGGGTGATCGGAAAAGGATCTAAGACGGTGGTTCTGGCTCATGGATTTGGGACGGACCAGTCGGTGTGGAAGCATCTGGTACCTCATCTGGTTGAGGATTATCGTGTGGTTCTGTATGATAATATTGGAGCTGGTACGACCAATCCTGAATATTACGACTTTGAACGATATTCCTCCGTCCAAGGCTTCGCCTACGACCTTATCGCCATCTTTGAAGAGCTTCAACTTCAAGACTGTATCTTCGTTGGTCACTCTCTTTCTTCCATGGTCGGCCTCCTTACTTCCATCTCTCACCCTCATCTCTTCTCTAAGCTCATCTTAGTCTCCGCTACTCCAAGGTATACGTTTCCATCTTTTTTTTTTTTTTGGTTTTTCCAGTTTAATTATTTCCTGAAAATGTTCGTTCCTTTGGGTGTCCAAGGAAGAAGAGTTAATTAGTTAGGTATAATAATGAGAAGGCGGCTGTCCCCACCAATTAAAGATACACTTTCATGCTATTACTGTTTAGTTCTTGTCATGCCCTTGCTTGATATGATGATTTAATTGCCCAAAGGGAATTGGACAAATATTGAGTTAATGGGCAGGCAGTTAGATGATGATTCAAATTTGATAACCTGGCTAATATCATTAATCTCGTGTTAAACTTAAGTGTCTTTCAATTAGTTGTTGTTAGGTTTTGGGTTAAGTTCCAGGGAAACTATATTTGTAAGGTTGAAATAATGTTAGTAAATGTAAAGAAAGAAAACTAGTTGTGTGAAGAATAACATTCACATGTTGAGGTATGGGATGAGGAGAATCCGATTCAACATAGAAAGATGATCGCACTGGGGCCAGAAGGGAGCAAATGAATAAAGTTAAAGTGAGATGTGGTTGATGAATGACGTGCATATCCTGATCATCAAACACACCGTCCCTTTATTTGTTTTTTAGATTATTCTATATATGTTAAACCCTAGATGCAAAATGATATAGGTAGTAACAATAATGTAATAAATATTTTACTACCTCATGTCCTTAACATAAGAGCTGATTTCATATTCAATTTAATTCTAAATATAAAATCCCAATTTACTTTGTTTTCAATATTTATATATTTTTCCCTCAAGTAATTTCTATAGTAATAGTTGCATATGTTAAGAAGTTAGTATTAATAAGTAGTTCAAGCATATATGATTAATAAAGATATTTTAGAAAAACTAATACTCCTCCGGTCCTTAATATAAGACCCATTACTAATGTGATTAGATTAAGAAAGTTAGTAAGTTATTATAAAAAAAGTGACAAATTTTTCCTAAAACACTATAATTATCTTTCTTAATACCTTCTCTCACTCTTCTACTTGATTATAGTTGAGGGGTATCCATAGGGGTAATTTAGAAAAAATTGATAAATATGAGAAATAAGTCTTATATTTAGGACCAAAACTAACTTAAGAATTGGATCCTATATTAAGGACCGGAAGAGTATCTATTTATTATAAATGACTAATTTAACTAACTTTCTTAATCTCTCCAAATTAGTCAACTAGGTCAAGGACCGGAGATCCTATTAATTAAAATTAACTTATAAAAGAGCTCATCTTCTACTAGCTCGTTGGAATTTTTTTTGTCTTAAAATTATCCATCGTTATTTAAATATTCATTAAGAAGCATGAATTAATTTTTCTACTTGTGGAAAGAGGAGAAGGAATTTGTTTCTATACTTAGGTTTACATTTTGTACCCTATGTCGCTTTATTCTGATACAAAATAGTGAGGTGGTGATCTGGGTGGTTATTTTTATTCTTTACACTTTTTTCACGAATCTAAATTCTGGTTCAATAGCAAATCGAATATATATTGTACCAAAAAAATATTAAGTATATTTTTTTTAATAAAAATATCAATCATTTTATATAGAATCTAATTATGAGAAGAAGCATAAAAAACATTTGGAAAGTGGAAAAATTTAGGGAGCAGGGGAGGAGAAGTAGACACCGTACCCAAATTCAAATTTATGTCTAAATGCATGTCCTAATATGCAATAAAAATTATATATAATAATATATAAAAAGAAAAGATTCCTTATTTATTTTCTCATTCCTCTATCCGACTGTTATCATGTATAATTGCCCAGAGCAAAAGTTGAAAACGTGCGTGCAGGCTTCTGAACGATGCGGACTATTACGGAGGGTTCCATCAAGAAGATCTGAGCCAACTGTTCGAAGGGATGCAATCTAACTACAAAGCATGGTGCGCGGGGTTTGCTCCCATGGCGGTCGGCGGCGATCTGGACTCCGTCGCCGTCCAGGAATTCGGCCGAACCCTCTTCAACATGAGGCCCGACATAGCCCTCAGCTTGACTCAGACCATCTTCCAGTTCGACATGAGGCACATTCTCGGCCTCGTCACCGTCCCCTGCCACATCATTCAGAGCTCCAGGGACCACTCCGTCCCTCTCGTCGTCTCCGAATACCTCCAACAACATATCGGCGCTAAGTCCATCGTCGAGATCACCCCCACCGAAGGTCACTTGCCGCAGTTGAGCTCGCCGGACATCCTTGTCCCCGTTTTGCTCCGCCACATCCGTGACGATATTGCCGACCCAAAATGATTATCGATATCGCTCACTGCTTCTAGGTACATCGTCGACGTTTTGGTTCCCAAAATGCAAAACAAGAGAAAAAAAAACTACATCATCTAAGCACTCAAACATGGTCAAGAAAAATACAGTATGTTAAAAAACTTTGAACTCCAATTCACTAGACTAAAAGTTTATATCAGATCTTAAGGATCTTAAAATCTTATAGTAACTTTTAATATTTGAAATAATTTCCCCTAGTGATCAGCTTAGTTCTTTTTTTCCCCCACTTTTGAACTTCTTCATGTTCTTTTTTGTAACATACTTATTGCGTTTTGTATGAAAGAATCCATAATACTACCTCCGATCTTTAATATAAGATCATGTTTGACTTTTATTTTGATCATAAATATAAGATCCCAATCCACTTTGTCTTTCATATTTATACATTTTTTTTCAAAGTAGCCCTTCTAATAATGAAAGTTTTAGTCAATACACTTGATTAGTAAGGATATTTTAGAAAAAACAACACCTATTTAGGACAAATAACTAACTCAACTTACTTTCTTAATCTCTTCAAATTAATCAATTAGCTCTTATAATTATGACCGGAGGTAGTAATAAAATTGCCAATCGAAAAGACGACCTGTGTTGCCCAAAGTTGAAGTTGGAGGAGTCTTCGATTAGTTTTGAAGTTGAAGAGAATTAATCCGCCATAAATGTTTCTAATTATTAAGAAGTGAAGTAGATTAAGGTTCGGTAATAATAGGGTAGATTATTGCTGCTTGGCTATCAGACTTTTTTTAATATCTGCCTTGAGCCAGTGCAGCATTACAAATGTTTATGAGCATTAATATCATTAGACTCTTTTTAACTGGAAAATAACCACATAGTTCACAGTTAATATACAATATGATTTTTCTAAATTTTTCATGTTATATTCATTGATAAAATGGTAACCTATATGTATTTGTGTGTGTGTAAAATAAATTTTAAAAAAATCTTGCTATTTATAAACTATGAAAAGAAATAATTAAAATTTAGGAAAATATGATTATATAAAAAATAATCATAACTGCTTATAGTGTGAAGAAAATACCCATGGGCCTTACGCTCTATCCCCTCACAAAAAGAAAAAAGAAGGAAAGAAGATATATCATGAGTCATATAATATAACAGTATTAGCCATCATATGTGGAATAAATTTAAGTAATTCCACCACTGGTTTTTAATATAAGAATTAGTTTTTATTTTTAATTTGGTTCTAAATATAAAATTCTAATTGACTTTATCTTTTATATTTATCTATTTTTTTCCATAATAGTCTTTTGTAGTAGCTGCGTATGTTAAAGGTCTTATTAAATAGTAGTTTTAGCTAAGACACATAATTAGGAAGGATATTCTAGGAACGACAATACATATTTATTACAAATAACTAATTTAATTAATTTTTTTAATATCTCCGAATTAGTTAACTAAGTCTTATATTAAGGATATAATCTTCTTTAATATAAAATTATTTATAAATCTATTATCCACACCCAATACAATAAACAAAGTTATCTAGAAAATTGTCATCTCCTTTACCGTGAAATATCGTTTTCTACTGCATACTGAGAATACATTATATTTTACAGACGACAAACAACAATAAAAGCCAACGGAATTAAGAATAAGTTTCTTAAATAAAACTTTAAAGTGTTATAATATATTTTATTTCGTCTATAAAATTTATTGATTCGAATAATGTGAAAAATAAACATAGTTTTAAAAATTATGTAAGGCTTAAGTCGTTAAAAGAGGGAAAATTAAAAAAAAAATTGAGAAAGGAAAGTAAGAAATAGTGAGTGTGTCCTAAAACAGGAAGTTTTCGTCCTTGATTTTCGGCGAAGAACCCTCGGCCCATGGTAGAAAATCGGAGCACATTTCATACTCAGCAGTGCTCACTCTAATTTAGATAATTTAGAATTGATTTTGGATGATTTAAATTGAATTAAAATTTTTCATATATTTTGTTTTAATAGATATATAATTTAAAATAAATACAATTTTATAACAAGCATATCTTTAAAAAATAAATTTATCATCGAAAAATTGTACATTAAAAAATTTAAATCTGAACAATTCATAGTAAAATTTAGGTGATTTAGATCGCATTACGGTGATGAGTACCAAATTATATTCACTACTCATAACTATTATACAATCTAAACCATTTAAAATCTAATATTAAAATTTTTAATATATAAAATTTTTACTGGTAAATTTATATTTTTAAAGATATGTTAGTTATAAATTATATTTATTTTACATTTTGCATCTCTTAAAATTAAAAAAATCAAAATATAAAAAAAACTTAAATTCAATTTGGACCATCTAAAATCAATCTAGATGGTCCAAATTGCAATGAGTCATGCAGCATGGAATGCGCCCCCAGGACAAGGTTCCCCGCATGTTGATGGCACACATTAAAAATTTTTCATTCTAATACGCATTATTAATAATGATTTTTTTTACAAACAATACTTAATGATTATAAATAACTAATTTAATTAATTGTTTTAATATTAGCAAATTAGTTATAAAATATAATATTTATGGTAGTATTCTTTCTAATTTATAAAATTAAATCCTACCATAAATATTATATTTTATATTAATATTGATATATATTGAAAGCACAGCAAAACAATTGCGACGGCGGTGAACTTGAAGAGGAATTGTTGAACCGTCCTTCACAAGGGTTATCCATGGCTGACCATCCATGGCGTCGTTCTCTTAATATATTTCTCACGAAAAAACCCATCTATATACGTCTTTTTTTTTTTTTGTTCAGCATAAACATGATAATTCTGTAGTGTTGCCACCTCGTATTTAAATTTATTCCCCATATTTTCGTTCTGTTGCTGTGTCTACTCTGTGAATGCAGATAGAGATGTAACCTCAATTTTGACGCTTCTAATTTTGGAAGACATTAATGTTTGATTATATATACCATTCTACAATTTTATTTAGCATATATTAAATGCACGACAACTTGTTCCCTCGTTCGAAGTTAATCAGTGATACGTCAAACTAATATAAAACTTCATTTCATTTTATTTTGCAAATTTATAATTTTTTTTTGTTTAAGTAGAATTTGTAACTATTTTTTCAAACAACTAATTTGTTTAATTTCTTTAGGTCAATTTTTTTAATTTATATAAATTAATTATTTAATTCTTATTTATAATCAGAATCAAATAAAATATTATTTATTTTGAAAGCGACAAATACGTAAATTATATAATCCTCTAATCCTATATATAAACAACAACTAATTAAACAAAACACGTAGATTAAAATATTGATTAAAATTAATTAAAGACAATAAATGTATAAGATATGTGTAATTTTTTTTCTCTAAATATGTCATTATTTATGAAGATGTTAAGTGGAGACATAATAAGCATAAAAAAAGAGATGAAAAAGACATATAATTAAGTAAGAGTAAAAACAAAAAAAATCATTAAGACAAGATTGTTATTAGATAAACCCAAAGCAAGTATTGCTTACATGTGGGAACTCATCTTTTTTGTTTTTGTTTTTTTGCAACCATATATAGAACTTATCCGAGAAAATATTGCTTTTATATAAGATCATCAAAGGGAGCATATAATAAATGCCCGATCATTGGGGCATATGAGATTAAATAATCATTCTTAAATTAAATAAAAAACATATAACACTCAAAAAATGCCTTATCACAGTATGAGAAGGATTGTTTCGAAGCTTCCAATTGTGATAAGTGATGATAACTTGCTCTGACGATTCAACAAACAATATAAAAAAGATATCCGAAGAGCCAAACACATGAGACATGGGCTCACAACAAGGCTCACATAATTCACCGCTTTTAAACGACACGTCGTTACGTGTCCATTCGCCCCCCGCAATGTGCAAATTAAAGTTCTCTCTTCTGCATGCAATATTGGTAACTCAGAAATTCGTCCACACATACTTTTATATATACCTACCGTCCACCGAATCCCCCCCCGCAAGCAAGAATTGAAACACAAATCAAAAGCCCAGAAAAGAAGTAGAAGAACAACAAAAGATTATGCAAACCCTATTATAACACATAAACTCCGAATTAAACTCATCAGATCGATCGATATGGGGATAGTGGAAGAAGCTCATAACTTGAGGATGATCGGAAAAGGATCTAAGACGGTGGTTCTGGCTCATGGATTTGGGACGGACCAGTCGGTGTGGAAGCATCTGGTACCTCATCTGGTTGAGGATTATCGTGTGGTTCTGTATGATAATCTGGGAGCTGGTACGACCAATCCTGAATATTACGACTTTGAAAGATACTCCTCCGTCCAAGGCTTCGCCTACGACCTTATCGCCATCTTTGAAGAGCTTCAACTTCAAGACTGTATCTTCGTTGGTCACTCTCTTTCTTCCATGGTCGGCCTCCTTACTTCCATCTCTCACCCTCATCTCTTCTCTAAGCTCATCTTAGTCTCCGCTTCTCCAAGGTATACCGTTTCCATCTTCTTCTTCTTCTTTTTTAGGTTTTTCTAGTTTAATTATTTCCTGAAAATGTTCGTTCATTTGGGCGTCCAAGGAAGAAGAGTTAATTAGTTAGGTATAATAATGAGAAGGCGGCCGTCCCCACCGATTAAAGATACACATTCATGCTATTACTGTTTAGTTCTTGTCATGCCCTTGCTTGATATGATGATTTAATTGCTCAAGGGGAATTGGACATATATTGAGTTAATGGGCAGGCAGTTAGATGATGATTCAAATTCGATTACCTGGCTAATATCATTAATCTAGTGTTAAACTTTAAGTGTCTTTCAATTAGTTGTTGTTAGGTTTTGGGTTAAGTTCAAGGAAAATTTGTAAGGTTGAAATAATGTTAGTAAATGTAAAGAAAGAAAACTAGTTGTGTGAAGAATAACATTCATGTTGAGGTATGGGGCGAGGAGAATCCGATTCAACATAGAAAGCTGATCGCACTGGGGCCAGAAGGGAGCAAATGAATAAAGTTAAAGTGAGATGTGGTTGATGAATGACGTGCATATCCTGATCATCAAACACACTGTCCCATTATTTGTTTTCTAGATTATTCTATATATGTTAAACCCTAGATGCAAAATGATATAAGTAGTAACAATAATGTAATAAACATTTTACTACGTCATGTCCTTAATATAAGAGCTGATTTTATATCAATTTGATCCTAAATATAAGATTCTAATATACTTTGTTTCTAATATTTATATATTTTGCCCTCAAGTAATCTCTTTAGTAATTATTGTATATGTTAAGGAGTTACTATTAATAAATAGTTCAGGC